ATCTTATTTATACAGGTTGAATTAGATTTAGCAAAACGCGTTAGCTTTAAAAATAAGTTAAATAGCCAGTATAATTTAAACAATGATCTAAACTTCATATTGACGAAGGAAGCATCTAGGAGATTGATAGTAAAGTCTCCACATATTACAACAAATTTATTCTGTTTATTGAGCTTAACAAAAACTTTCTTCATTTTTTTAAAGAGTCATAGAACATGAGGATCTATAGACGCCCACAACAATAAGGTGCTCAAACTTAACATATGCTTTTTCTACAGTTCACTCAATCAAAGAGATAAGATCTCAATATCTTTACATTATAATAATGTTACGAGCTTGCGGTTCGTGACAATAAAAATTGCCGATAAAATTACCTAAATTAACACTTTAATTTACTTTACACAAATTAAAACTAAAAACACTAATAATTAAACACACTAATTCACTTAATTCCGCTCCGAAGCTTCGCTTGTGTCGCCGAGTTCAACTCTGCCCCGAACGCATCTTGCAGCGCCTACTTATTTAAATTAGCAAAGAAATATCCAGAATGTTCAAGTAAACACGCGCAAGGTACCGAGCGTTCCAGTTTCGACTAGGCGCTGTCGGTTGAGTGATTTGTGATGTCATTTTCTCAATGCTCCCCTCGCTCTCGTTCCTGACACTAGATGGCGCTAGTGTATCGTCGACTTGAGCGCGTAACACTGCCCCCTCCTAAGACATGCTCGTCCCGAGCATTATCGGCCCCATAATAACGCGCCAAGCGATTCACATGGACGATCTTAGGAGTCCCTCTTGCGCCTTTCTGTAACGGCTCCGCAATGTCAAGGGCTGTCCTATCCCGTGGTTCACCAACATTGTACAATTTCGGTGCTCCTCTACTACGTGTCCGAGGTCCCCGCACGGCCGCACAACTTGTACATGTACGACACCAATCCTCGACATCGTCACGATAATGGACCCAGTAAAACTGTTCTCGGACCTTCAGTAGAGTTCGTTTAACTCCCAGATGGACTCTTGAACGACCATTATGGCACAACTGTAGAACATTCGGCACTTTAGCTTTAGGGACAACCATTTGCAAACGACAGCTGTCTCTTCGACCATTGTCCCATTTACGGCACAGGACTCCATCCTGAATCAGCAAGCTGTCCCATTGGGCCCAATAGCTTTTCGTGGTTGAACTCATCGCTGAGACGCCCCTCCACTTAGGCTTGGTAGCACGGGCCTTCATCCATCCTAGAATCGGCTTGATGTCCGGATCTTCCTGCTGTGCATGTCGTAGGTTGTCCTTCCACCCGTTGCTGAGGTGGTCTGTCCTGAGCATCCTCACGGATACCACCTCCTTACTCTCTTGCCTACTACAATGGTTGCAATTTTCAGGACAAGGTCTTCTTGACAATTCATCTGCGTTGCCGTGAGATTTCCCGCTGCAGTGTCTGATAGTAAAGTCGTATTCCTGCTGCTGCTGGGCGGTGCTGTTAGCCGCACTTCCTTTCTGAGATCGTTCAACTTCCCTTCGTAGGGTGTGCTCAGGGCAGCTGGACCGAAGATGGCCCCTTTCCCCACAGCCATAGCACCTAGGGCTGTATCTTTTATTGTGGTCGCGAACCGTAACTGCTGTAACCTCCCTAGCGTGAGGTGAACGATGATCCTGTCGCCGCCAGGCAGTGCCGTTAGCTGTACTACCCTCTCGAGATCGATCAGCTCTCCTTTCCACGGTTAGTTTAGGGCAGCTGGATCGAAGATGGCCCTTTTCCCCACAGCCATAGCACATTGGGCTGTATCCTTTGTTGCGGTCGCGAACTGTAGCTGCTGCAACCTACCTGACGCGATGGGAACGATGATCCTGCCGCACGGCTTCCACTTCCAGTGTATGGGCCAAGGCGTCCTTAAGCGTCTCGTGGTGCCCGAGCCTCACAGCAGCTCCAACTTCCAGGTCGCGGATGCCGTCGATGAATGTCTGCACCAGGTTAGGTTTTCGTTGATGCGCTGCACACGATCTTTAAGCTGCGCACGAAAGACGTGTTCCAGGTGGGCGTCACCATATCTCGCCTCCAATGCCTCAAGGAGTTGCTCATAAGTCACTTCCTCACCGAGAGCTTCCAGAACTGTTAAAGCCTGGTCGCGCAGGCCTAGTGTGAGAGCAGTCATGGCCTGACTTTTATTCCAGCCGTTCGCCTTCATAACAGCCTCGAACTGGATTTTGTAGGCTGACCAGGAAGAAGTCCCGTCGAATGGTGGCACCTTGAACCCACGTAGCGAAGGTGTAGTAGCTACTACGGAAGCTGTAGTTCCCTCCCCAAGTTTGAGTTCGTCAAGTGATTTCTTCATGTCAGACATTACGTTGTCAACCCTATTGTTCAATTTATGGATTCGGGTTCCAGCTTCCGACAGGAGGTTTACATGTTGAGTAACCCTTTCCTTCACCTCCCTTATCTCTTTTCCGAAGGTAGCGTGAATGTCCTTCATGAGGAGCATCTGCTCTTCCTTATCGTGCTTGAGCTGCTCTTCCAACCGACGGGCCTGTTCCTCCTGTCGGCGAGCCTGTTCCTCCTGCTGCTCTTTCAACAGACGGGCCTGTTCCTCTCGTCCGCGCTGCAGCTGCTCCTGTAGCATCGCCATCAGAGCACCTAAGTCAGTTGCTGCAGATGTAGGAGCTACTGACGGGCCTGCAGCCGGCGGCTGACCCTCAGGAGCTACTGGCGGGCCTGCAGCCGGCGGCTGCCCCTCCGCCGTCTGCGGTGTTGCACCACCAAATCTCCTTTGGTCCGTTTCCTGCTGGCGTTGACTTCGGGTACGGACACCCTCCGTTTCCTCCTTAGGTAAAATCGGCATGATTTTATCCCACTTCTGACACCAATTGTTACGAGCTTGCGGTTCGTGACAATAAAAATTGCCGATAAAATTACGTAAATTAACACTTTAATTTACTTTACACAAATTAAAACTAAAAACACTAATAATTAAACACACTAATTCACTTAATTCCGCTCCGAAGCTTCGCTTGTGTCGCCGAGTTCAACTCTGCCCCGATCGCATCTTGCAGCGCCTACTTATTTAAATTAGCAAAGAATATCCAGAATGTTCAAGTAAACACGCGCAAGGTACCGAGCGTTCGAGTTTCGACTAGGCGCTGTCGGTTGAGTGATTTGTGATGTCATTTTCTCAATGCTCCCCTCGCTCTCGTTCCTGACACTAGATGGCGCTAGTGTATCGTCGACTTGAGCGCGTAACAATAATTTACTAGCTAATATTAAGGAGTCACCTCTTAAAACCTCTTTGTCTGTTGAAAGAACTGACCACCTGGTGATTACTGAAGTTAAACATTAAGTTATAAGCTTTTAACAAATGTTCAGTAATACATAAAATATGAATATTGTTGCTATTTAAGAATAGTTTTAACTTCTTAATCTTTACCTCTCATGCTGTGTACATTTTGTGGAGTCGTACAGTTGACGATTTTTAAGCTACATTCTAAATTATTTAAATTATTATATTTGCCAGAGATTTACTTCTGCTAACTCATTTTCTAATTTAGATTACTTAGAACTGGTTCCAAATTCAATATCAAGTCATTATATATACTGCTGAATAGAAACACATGTCTGGGTAGCCAATTTCATGGCTTAGTTAAAATATAAATAATAAGATAGCACATTTGTTACCTGTCTCCATTGAGTTATATATATATATATATATATATATATATATATAAATCAATGCCTGTCTCTCTTAAAATTACCTCTTAATACAAATAAAATTCAGAGTTATATAATATAATACTGCAAATTAATATTTTATTTCTTACATTTAAGCGAAGTGTAGTGTACTCGAACACCAACTAATTTTATGGATTTTTAGAGTTCAATATATTTTTTTTAATTTGTGGCTTTTCGCGCGCTTTAGGTACAGTTCCCCTGATCACGAGGGACTGAGGTGTTTGATATACCGATGTGACAGTTACCGAAGGCTACATTCAAATCTAAAACACATGAATACACTCACACAGCCTACAAAAGTTCAATGCTGTATTGATTCAAACTACTTTTACGGATTTTATCGCGTTTAATTTATTTGATTTTTAATTCCCGACGTTTCAGATGCTTTCCACCACCCACGGGGGATGGAGTTGACTGACGTCCCGGTGCCAGTGTTAACCCGGAGTACCTTCAGTTTTTTAATTATTATTTATGATTCGATCTACGCAGAATGAACTGTGTCTTGAAGTCTTGCATTGGTATGCTTGGGCTTAGTTTTAATTTTATTAATTACAGAGTCCATGGAGGTAGTAGTACCCAGCCTTCTTCTCTATTGAAATGAGAATGTTTATTAATTTCAATAGCCTCACATAACATCCTTGGTAGGAATCGATGTACTTTCGCAAATTAAAAATCTTATAAATTAAACGCGATAAAATCATAAAAGTAGTTTTAACCCTTAAAGTGACTTTGTATAGCAGGGTATACATCTGACAATAAAAAAATCTTACGAAGTTTCTACACGTTTTATTTGCATTATTTCATTACAAGACATATTTCTGAACGTTACTTTTTACGTCAACATTACACTAAATAGCTAATCTGTGGTAAATTTGAATCAGTTGTGAAAAATAACGAACAGACCGCGGTCAGAAATTATTGTCAAGGTGAGTTTTACTTATTTTCGTGATTTTATTACTTATTATGGGTATGTAATGCATAAATCGAAAAGGTGAAGAGTTATTCCAACCATTGTGTAACTTAAATGGCCTGGATGTTGTCATATTTGGATTATTTTAACTTGTTTACATCCGTGTATGGTATACTATACAGTGCTACAATCACTACTATTTGCCATTATATTTATTTGTATAGTATACTATACATTGCTACTAACATGGTACTAACAAATTTTAGTTGATTTGGTATGATACGAGTTCCGCATAGTGCATAAATAACTTTTTGGCTTTTATCTGGGTGATGGTTGAACTGCATGTTTGTTTCGTTTTGTTTTAGAATATAATGAACGGAAGAGCGAGACGCATATTGTCTTTGGTTCCAGCACGAAATGCTGGTTCTGATGTTAGTGATGGATCCAGTAGTGATGATGAAGTCAGAGATGTCGAGAGTTCACCAGCGCCGTCTCTGGATTCATCATTTGAAAAGCTCGACATTCTCGGCAGCCCCACTTCATCGCCCAATCATCCGAAGCAAGAGGTGGAATCACGTGCAGAAGATCTTTCTGATGTGGATTCAGAGACTTTTCAAGTTTCCCTAACGCCAATCCTGAACGCCGTGTTCCCTAGCCCTACGCAATGCAATTACGACGCAATACCTTTAATTTCTTCTGTATCATCTATAACGTCTGTTGAACCATCTACTCCCATAGCGGATGTCACACCTTTAGTGACACGTGGGCAAAGGAAACGTACTGGGCCTTCTGTTTCTGTTAATAAAGTGAAAAAGGCGGTGTATCAAAAAACTAAGCTTACGTTTCCGTTGGAAGAAAGTGTCATTTCAACACAGAGCTGGCTGATGGGTATAGTAATTCTACCGTCATATAAAGACTATTGGAAATCGTCGTTTAGGTATGGAAAAATCGCAGATGTAATGCCCTTGAGGCGTTTCCAACAATTAAGAAGATTTGTACATTTTACTGACAATACTCAAGCTGATACTTCAGATAGGTATTACAAACTACGACCCCTAATTGAATGCATTCGGTTACAGTGTTTATCCGTTGAGGAAGAAAATGCTTTCAGTATTGATGAGATGGTCATACCCTACAAAGGTAAAAAAAGCCGGCAGCCGTCGCCAGTATAACCCAAATAAGCCAAGTAAGTGGGGCTTTAAAAATCTGGTTAGAGCCGGTGTGTCCGGTATCATCTACGATTTTCTGCTGTATGCTGGCGATGATACGTTTACAGGTGTGCAATTTACAAATGAAGAAGAGTCTTTGGGTGTTGGAGGTAAAATAATTTTGGCTTTATGCAAATCTATAAAAAAAAAGGCATGTAGTGTCGTATATTTTGATAACTATTTTACATCTTTAGAATTAGTATATATTTTACGAGAAAATTACGGAATATTTAGTTTGGGGACTATTAGAAAAAATAGGTTGAAAGATGCGGAATCTAAAATGATTAATGATAAATCGCTACAAAAAAACGGAAGAGGGGCGTTTACTCAAGTGGTGTGCAACGACAATAAATTGAGTGTGGTGAAGTGGTTCGATAATAAGCATGTTAGGCTTGTAAGTTCCTATGTTGACGCTTTTCCTCTTGAGAATATCAAACGTTTCAGCAAGGAGTCTAAAGGACGCGTAGACATACAGTGTCCTCAAATCGTCAAGCATTATAACCGCCATATGGGAGGTGTGGATTTGGCGGATATGTTAATAGCATTATATCGCACTGGTATAAAATCTCACAGATGGTATATGAACATTTTTTCTCAGTTGTTGGACATTTGCATAAACAATGCATGGCTGTTACGTCGTAGACACGACAACCAAATAAATAAAAAGAGGAAGCAAGATCGCCTAAAAGACTTTCGTTACGAAATTTATGCCGGACTTCTGAAACGTAATAGAATTGTGCCCGTAAAAGACGTTTTGTCTGTACCCGAAAAAAGTAAGATTAAGAAACCGATGGCCGAGAGGCCTCTTGACGATGTGCGGTATGACAAATTTGATCATTGGCCCCAGTTAACCAGTTATCAACGCTGTAAATATTGTAGAGGAGGTCAAGCTAGTACAATGTGCACAAAATGCAATGTACATCTATGCTATGTTAAGGATAGAAACTGTTTCTTGGCTTACCACATGAAGCTGTAATAAAATATAATGTATACTATGCTATACATTGATAATCGCAGATCATTCTCAACGGGTGTGACAATGTATAGTATATTATACATAGGTTTTTCCAAAAAGTAAGGCCTCTAGATTTTTTTGGTTATTTTTTTTAACTTTGTTTAAACGCCTAATAAACCATTAAAACTTGTTTTAGTTGTTTTCATTTGCTAAAAGTATCGTGCGACTTTAAGGGTTTAATCAATGTGTAGTGTTTGCGTAAATATAAGAAATTCCCTGTGGAACTTAGAACCTATTCATACATTGCCTCATACGAGGAAATTTTGCAATAGTTGGCAGGTGGTTTGGCCACCGCAAATTTTTTATAATTTTGTGTTATTAGGAAGATGCTGCTGCTCATCTCCTGTTTCAGTTCCCTCTATCTTCGCTCACGACACCCACAGGACAGAATCGAGTAATGATTATCCTTACACCACCACAAAATTTTAATTCGCATATAAAAATTGTAGGTAGCCTCCGTTGACTGCAACTGTATTTCATAATTTACCAATATTAATATCTTTATGATAATTAAATAAAACTAGTTTTTACGGATTTAATTGCGGATATTAACTAACTTTATATTCCCGAAGTTTCGAGTACTTAAGAGATCCCATTGTCACGACGGGACTCTGGTTTTCGACGTTCCATTGTAATAGTTAACCATGACAACCAACAAATTAACTTTTTTAAATAATTTTAATCTGAAGGTTAGTTTAATAAAAAAGTTGATACACGCACGTAACTTCTTAGGTACTAGTTTTATTTAAATGTGTAGAGTTTACGTAAACATAAGAAATTATTATCTTTATGATACTTAGGGAAATGAAAAAAGGTAAAGCAAAGCTATCTAATTCGCGGCCGCGCTCGTCCGCAGTAAGAATCGAAGACAACACGCGTCCCGGGAGTGCCGTACCGCGGTGAGCGCTCCACTTAATAATATTTTTCACCTTGTTTCGTTTTCCAATTTTCCGCAAGTCACTCTCGTGGGTAACGGTCCGTGTTTTGATTTAGAAATGCGCCTGTAGGATGTTTTAGTTGCCACGACACGACAACGATGTCTGTCTACATTGGTTTACATTGCGCTTGACGAGCGTGGCAACTATGGCAAAGTGATTAGGAGACAATCTATGGCTGGATGAATGGATGTTTTATATTAGAGGATAATGAAGAGCTATTGAATTTTTTAAATAGCTGTTAATTCGCCTTTAGTTTGTTTGTAAACTAGCAATCACTATAATTATTGTAGAAAATTATAATCAGATTGGGACTGCTTGGAAGCGCAGTGACTAAATTCTTAATTACGGCGTAGCGGGAATGCGGGGTTCGAATCCCGTACGGAATAAGTGCTTGTATGACAAATAATAGGTACTCCATCCATTTTCAAAGTGTTTTAAATGAAAACTAGAGTGATAATGTACCACTATAACTTGTATTTTTTAACGAATAGTGCCATTTAAATTATTTTTAATATATAGTTTAAATTTTTCGAGTGTAAACGCTATCCGGCATACCTTTCAGATCGTGACGTCAATGCGCTAGTAAATAAAAGGATTTTGCAAAAGAATAAGATATTTTTATGGACGTTTAATAATGAGTTATTATTAGTATGTTTTGCCTGAATGCAAAGTATGAGCATAAGAAAGCCAGGGAAGAAGTGCCAACTTGTTTAAACTTGAGAAATGCTTTGTTAAAACTGACAAGAAGAGACCCGAAGACGTTCCATCTTGGTCCTGACGTTCACGCATTTGCATTTTAATTCTTGATTGAGGATAAATGTGGATGTCTGTAGGCCACAGCATCCACTTAGCATTAGGTGGACCGTGTGCTCTTTTTTTTGTCTTTTTTCTTATTTCTCACCCAATGCTATAAAAAAAGACATTTGTGTGGAGATGACTTTGATGTAAGAATGACTTATATTTAACTATCCTTTATACAAAACAAAACATCACGAGGCTATCGGTATAGCAATTCAAATTTTTATTAGATTAAGTTGGGGGTTTTAGGACCTTAGCTATCAATATTGATTGATAATGATTTCAAATGTCATAATGATTATTGCATGTTTTATATGAAAATAACTTGGAGCATTACAGACAATATAAGATTATGGATTCGGTTAAACGAATTCGAATGAAACCGAACTTCAAACAGTCCAGATTCGATTACCAGGTATATAGAAAACGCAAGTCCACTGATAAACTTCGGCATGCCTTTTTTAAACGGCAAAGATTGTTTACAATTAAGAAGATTGAAGAGACCATGGAACCATTGACCATGGACAATTATGTTAAATCACTACCATATTATACTCATGGTAATTTTATTTGTGTAGTTTATGCCGATATAAACAAATTATCAATGTCATCGCTGGGATGAGAACTAAATTAACATTCTTTCACTATTTTTTGCAAATTATCGGATGCATCAAAATAAGTGTGATAAAGAAGTCCAAATAGTTGATACTATTGAGTTGAGCTGATGCTCAGGCACATTAAACAATTCGGAATTGCATGCAAAAAAAATTACCAAAACCATATATTTATCCTTGGTAGATAAGTAATTTCTGTCTTTACGAATCTGTCTTCCATGATGCCATTTTAATAAAATACGGAGTAGAAGTGAACAATCGTGATGACAGCTTGAAATTATCGAAATAACATACAGCACATTAGCTTATTTACTATTGAAGTGCCGTCACAACTTAATCTAATATGGTGGATAGCGTTTTGTACATTTTAGCTACAGTCTCCGGTTTTCTACATTCACCATACGATACATAACATTGATGTTACTACTTTACGCTGGTATTCTTCGAGGGCGTGGTCCTACCCATTTGTGCTACAACTAGCTAACTGCAGCGTGGTTCTACCACGTAAAATGTTCCTTGTGCTTTAAAAATATGTGTAAAGTGGAGAACTATTATTATTTTCATTTTATTTGTTTCTCAAATAATGCTTATATTTTTGCTCGTTGTTTAAGTCAGGCGTATAATATTTAGACAGACGATGGTAACATCATCAAAGATGTAAGACGTCTGGTACTGCGGTATGACAAAGTTCGGTTGGTGATTAGGACAAAGAATTATGTTTTGTTAAAATTTAATATATTTAATATTTTATAAATTAATGTTATATAATTTCTGCCTACTTATTGACGGAACATTCATTGCAATATGCCGAAAAATACGTTATATAAAGCAACCCAGCAGCTGTATCATGGTTGCAGCAATGGATCAGCTCGACTGTGGAAGATACGTTTCAGAGATTAACAGCGTAAAATATTAGCAAGCTCCTGTCTTGTCACTTATGTATTCAACATTATTGTTACTTTTCTAATGCGTACAGCAAAGGAGTGGAATAATTTGCCGGCATCTCTCTCTTTTTTTTTTTTTTATAGAATAGGGTGACAAACGAGCACGCAGTCCACCTGATGGTAAGTGGTTGCTGCGGCCCATAGACATCTACATCTATCCTCCATTAAAAATCAAAATGCAGATGCGTTGTCACCCGTGAGGACTGAGATGGAATGCCTCGTTTCCAGTAAAAAGGGTCTCCGGTTCTCTACACTCACCATACGAAATACAGCAGCATTAAGCTACTATTTCACGCTGGTATTCTGTGAGAGCGTGGTCCTTCCCCGGTCGAGCCGACCCATTCGTGCTACAACTATTTTACTTTATTAACTGCAGCATGGCTCTACCACGTAAATCTCTCTTTCCGACCGAATACAATCTGGGCGTTTTTAAGACAAGACTGAATGGGTTTTTGTTGAGCTAAGACAGTGCGATTTACCATCTACGGCTTTTTCACCACTTACCATAACGTGGTATTGGGGCCACAAGGTCACGCACTGACTTATAATAAGTAAAATAAATAATTAATTAAGTTAAATTTCTACTTACGTGCATCATTTTCGTTATTATTTTTTTACTGGTGGTCGCCCCGGCTTCGCACGGGTGACTTCTGTATCTCGACAACACCTACTGTCTCCAAATGTGAATCCAAATCATCTAGGGACCCATTCAAACAGACACAAAAACTTTCATCAAAATCGGTCGAGCCATTTTTGAGTTTTAGCGAGACTATTCTTTTATTATGTGCGAACAGCTATGCAGGTCTAGGGGAAGAGACCAGTATCACTACGACCTAAAATATCTATTGTGATCGCTGCTGTCTATAGTTCACTGCTAAGCTCTATGTCTTCAATAAATAGAAGGAGTTGCTTAGCCATAAGCAATTTTACTTCTTCTGGGCGGAGTACATAGTTTGCCAGGTGAGTGTTACGTTTGCGCATGTTACAGGTCCGCAATCAGTTAGGATGTGCAGAGGCGCTTCTTCCGTTGTAAAACAGAACCAAAACAAAAACTTACATCAAAATCGGTCGAGCCGTTTTTGAGTTGGAGAGCGATTGATTTTTATATATTGAGATTGGAATCGTAATGCGTGTTCTAAGGTAATCATTCGTTAGATTATCTTTACTTTTTTAAATAGTTACTATCATTTTTGTTATGTATATTTTTAAATAGTCGAAATGTTGATTACAAAGAAAACAAATGATACGAAAAACTCTACAAGAATTCGAGGAGCTATTTTAACAAAGCGATTCTCATATTTCTTTACTGTTTTGATAAGCAAGCCAGATATGATTCCACTATTTCCCCTCGCCGCCATTGTCCATTTCGCGGGGCTGTCGCCTGACCCCACTTGTAGCAATCTAATTTGGTATCTCCCGACCCTTGAGTTGGGCCAACATCACCAATACTAGTGCAAATAAGAATAATACTAAAATATTTTCTCATCATCGTAGGCTATTTACATACATTTGGAAATATTTATCCTTTAAAAATCTAATTGCCAAGGCTCACCAGTAATTCACGTGCCAGTTTGAATAAAATATTGATAATTTTTACCGTGCACTGACGTGTAGCGGCAGTGTAAGAATATCCGCTAGCCCATATCGTCCCGTAGGTGTCGTAAGACGTGACAGAGGGAATCTGAAAGGATGGGAAACAGCATCTTCTACACAACTCAGCTTCGCAGGAGACCAAGCGAGACAACTAAGGCAAAGTCCTGCATAGGAGGCAATCTATGAGGAAGACCTGAGTTCAGCCGCGGCCTTTAATAGACTGTGATGGAAGGGTAGATGGATTTTTTATGAAACTTGTGAGAGGTATAAATATTTTGTAAATTTAATGTAGTTTGACATCCTATCCTATAAAAAAAGTTTTTTTATTCTATTTATATAACTTTACATACATTTCTCTATTAGGTACGTCAAATAAGTGCACTGAAACACAGAAATATTACATATTAAAATTAAATCTTTTAAGGCAATATTTTTGATGTGAATGGCTATAAATTTATCTACATAATATATTAAGTGGATAGAACCGCAGTTACATAAAATTTAAATGCAATTACTACGTACTCTTAAAACATATTTATTTGTAACAAATAATTGAACAAACATTGGTCCAAGAGTTGGACGTCGGTAATAACTTTTATCTTACAATATCACATGATATGAAGGGGCGAAGACGCAGGTAACTCAACGGAAAATCTAATTTACTAAATTGAATTACACTGTCCGCTAACTCCAGGATATATTTCTCTCCAACTAGTTTTTGTGACAGCCATTTTATGAAATAGATGACAAATCGTGATGGATACGTTCTTTGGAATTTTCGTGAATGATTGCAATGGATCTACAGAATGGATCTATGTTAAAAGTTAAACTGTTACAATATCGTTCTTACAACTATAAGAAAGAGTCCTGTGAAAGACGCCAAGTATTCCTTTCTGGAAACGTCAATGCTTATTTAAAAAAAAATAGAAAAATTTATGGCAATAATATATTATATGCTAATAGATCATAATTTTGTGGTAACGCCATAAGTTTAAAGTGATAGAGACATGCTGCAG